GTATTTTGTGTGTTCGATTATGATGTCAATAAAATGCGCTATATAATTTGGTCGTGTGAAGACATGTCTTATCCCCTCATGTCTGGCAAAGTCTATAATCAAAATTAAAAAAAAAACACCAACAACACTTTTAATTTAACAATTAATAATGCAATTGGACCTCGGCAACAGTAGCACACCCTTTGAACTACCGGAGAATTTATTTACTCGAAATCACTTTCACACAATGCGAAATCCGATTTGCTGTCGCAAGGACTGCGACAATCTGCCCATTTAAACAACGGCCCAAGATATCGGTATTTGATTCCATACACTAACATGTATTCACCAAAGTACGGTTCGTGTGGAGCCCAATTTGTGTAACCATCCTCGACGTCCTTTCCGCTATGTACCCACTTAAAAACGCCGTTCACCTTTCGTCCTCCCATCCAGATTACATCGTCGACCTTAGAACCTGCAACACAAGGAAGACGTAATAAGAGATAGACACTAGTAATTACTTATAGCGAGAGGCCAAGTTACCATTTCGCCTTTCCAGTTCTGTTCTGAAAGCTACCATGTCCAACCCTGGCGAAGTCGTCTGGTGAGGACGTCTCAAGCTAGATCCAAAAGAGAAAATGTAACGATATATTTTTTATTTTTAAAATAATTGAAATTTGAAATGTAATTGGAATGGTGCCGTTTGAAGGAGCTTTGTGAGAAGAGATCACACCTACCCATTTAGCCACGTAACAATTATTGAAGGTGAGCTAGATTATCTTAAAGGATGAAAATAATAAGGATATGTACTTTAATGTTTACTTTAATGTTTAGTAATAACTCAATTTATTTATTTGGGTCTTCATAGACCCCTGATGGGTAAGCTCAAGGGAATTTAATGGTATAAATACTTTCCATAAAGCGAAAATTTAACAATCATATAAACTAAAGAAAAAATTCAGAACTTGTTTAAATATATCATTTTATAAGTTGTTGATTGACTCTCGAACTCACCATTACGTTGGAGAATACCCTCGACAACCCTTTGCTCAGCCTCTGATCCAATTTCTGCTAAATACCCTCTCTGCTGTTCGCAAAACTGTTTTGCTTCTTCCCATGTCATTGACGCACTGTTATTATACAGATAACAACTAGAGTTTAACCTTTCAAAGCCCGGAGGACAACGTGGACCTGAAAATAACAGCAAGCGATTTTCAGATAATTTTCAACAATATTGCGGTATACCATGCACATGTAATTTTGAAATGATGTAGTGCAAATCCTACAAACATTTTTCTTAATGCACATTTTGTGCTTTACAAATTGATTAAAAAAGACAGAAAGACACCGTTCAAATAAACAGGAACTTATAACGCAGTGTTTGCATCCATTGGATTCTTTCCATGGGTAATATATAAAAAGTCAATAACGGTAAAATATATTGAGTGAGCTCTTGAGTCACTGCCAATTAAAACATACAATACTCATAAAAAGTAATAGTAACCTTAATCTCCGATGAAAATTGAAAGTCGTTATCAAAACAAAGACGGAAATGAATAAAGAAAGAAAGAGGGAAGTAAAACATCAAAAACGTTACCTGGCGTTGTTGAATATTGGACTGAAATAAACGCGGTGGATGTCCTTATTGTCGTTGTTGATGTTGATGTTGATGTTGTTGTTGTCGTTTTAGGCGGCCAAGTATGTGTAATTGGTTTTGCTGTCACAGTTTGCAAGGGTTTCGTACTGCCGGTCGTTGATTTGCATTGCAGATAGAGCTGTAAAATAGGAAGTTTGCTTCAGTTTACGGCTTGTGTATATTCCAAAACACTAGAATTCTTTTGATCTACAGTTCAGTACCAGGCAGCATCATACAACATGTCTTAAACTGTAACTATCGCGCCTCTCCATATGGGTTGTAAGGTTAGTCAGTCATCAATTAATCTTAGCGAACGTATTTCGGTAAACATGTGGAATATTTCAAACAACAAAACTCTGATACGTTCACCGTGCCCTTTTTGAATGTTTGGCTATGGGACGATTGCCCTTTATGCTGAAGGTCATCAAAGTCAGCTAGAACTTAGATCTTTTCAGAACGTCAAAAGGTTAATCTTTTTTTTTCAAATATATATGAATTTAAGAACTATTTTTATCACAGAAAAAGATGGAACGATAAACGATAGGTTCGCATACCTGTTTTAAATGTTCGAACAGCTCTCGTTGAAGCTCAAGATCCAAGTCTAAATGTCCAACTGGTAGTTGCCGTCTGCCTATGAGTATATCTTGGCCAAGGTGTTTACACTCGGCCACCAGTTTCTCTCTTAGTTTACTGTTCAGTACTTTTAACTCGGACAACTCGAGTAACTTGTTGAAATCTTCTTTGGTTGTTGCGTTGGAGAACAAAATAAGGGGGGCAATCGTTAATAAAATCAAGGAGAGAGACGCCATATCTGTAACGTTCGTGGTCTTGTCGTGTTCGGTTCTGCGACAGTGACCAACAGTTTACACTTCGGAATAATCTAAGAGCTTGACATCGAGATATTCTTAATCTGCTGATATTTCTCATCCAATAAACTCAGTTCACGTCATATTTTCATCTTTTCAGCTCTGGTTTGAAAATGGACCAATTTTATATTGGGCACTTTCCAGCATAGGGTCAATGATGGCAATCGCGTATTATCCGTATTATCTGAGGCAAACAGTTACTGTATATCAGTCAAAAAGAAAACTTTATTGGTGGTTCTTCTTTTTTCAAGTGTTTGACTGGCCGACTTTATTCAATTGATACATCGGGTATGTAGTGGCCATGACACAGATGACATAGAAACAGCTGTTGGTTTACAAAGATACAAAGGTCATTATGAAGCCATCACGTTGCGAGCGAGCACAGGTGTGTTACACTCCCTAAAATACGTTTAACTTAGTCAGTGAGTACTATAAATACACGCATATGTCAAGATGAAATAAAGGGGAATCAATGTATTACAATTACACTGCATAATGCACTTGGTATATATGTCAGCCAGTGCACGCTTCTTTCCCATTAAAACGTACATCAACTTTTATTAAAGCATCGTGTTACATGTTATCTTGACATACACAAGGGATGTTACGTGGTCTGATGACAAGCTCAGATATCAGAATAATAGCTATAACTGCTGTTAATGTGGTAAAGCAGAATAAATTATATTTCTATGAGTTGTTTACAATGTTTTTATTGTGAAATATAGATCTCATACGAAGAGTTATTATCCCTTTAAATACACGTGCTATTTGCTGAACAGAATACATTCATAGGTAATATAACCACTTACCGAGAGAAATTCTGGATGCTCGCATCTGCTCATACACGTCTGGCCAATTACTAAATCAATTATGTTGTAATAAGACAATTAATGATGCAGTATAATTTCACATTTTCTCATTTCTGGAGCATTTGTGCTGCCTTTTATTATACATGTGCAAGTAATGTCACTGTTGATTAGTTTTCCCCTGATGTTTATAGAACAGGCCTATGGTCAGTACACTGTATGCTAACCTAGGGCCCATAGCCATCTTTGAATTTTTTTTCACTTTTTCATTGTAACGGTCACTGTTCGGTGGACAAGCGGTGATAGTGATGTATCCTCTGAAATCAGGGGCTACTAAAATATTATACAAAATTGCAGCTTGGCCGATACAAAATTTTTGTGACAGACTATTAGCACACCCTGTGATGATTTCAGGAGGCATAACTATAGTGAAGATGTTTATAGTTTATTTTAATTCACTTTTATGAATTTGAAGTTTCCTAATAATTCTGACCACGTAGGTGCTAAAACGACAGGGTTGGGGGGGGGGAGGGTGCACCTATATCGACGGCGTATCGGCCTTAAAGAAAGCGGCACTGAGACTAAAAGACTGAAAGTCGGGCGACACTCTGTAGAATGCATTGAACAGAGTAATACGTCCATATCATACTCATACGTAAGTTATCGATGTATCATTCTATCAATATCAATCATCCTAAAATAAAATGAAAGTGGATGTATACAAAAGTCGTGATACGGGAATCGTCCTAGATAGACTAAATGGGAAAATTAATTTATTAATATAAAGAGAACACCAAACCACAGTAACCTAATTGAATTTGACATTAGACGGGTTAACACTTCCAACGGAGGGAGTGTCGTTATTGATAAAGTCTATGTGTGGCCGTTGATCAACATGTTAGCGGGTTATTGTAGAGGAAAATCTAGAAGTGTCATCACACTTATAATCTCTTGGTTTAGTATTCAACTATTCACATATTTGTCTATATAAACAACTGGATAACAAAAAATCACTACAATTTCCTTCACGAAATAACACACCTGTTTAAGGGGGGTTGCCTTATCTTAATCATGCCCCTTGGTAGGATTGGGCCATCAATATTCATGACTATTACAGAGATGTCATCAAGAACAATTTAGTAAGAACGCATTCAGAACAGATGGTCCGCGGACTAACCGATCTGGAGACTTAATAAGGCGGACCCCACTTAAAAAGCGATGCAGCTAATTCGCTGATGGTCTCTCCGCCTCCACACGCGCCATTTTAAAAACGGGTTCAATCTCGGCTCCGAGGTTTAATTACTAGACCCCTGCATCAACGGCGTGTGTGGAGGAAGGGGGAGGGGGCATTAGGGAATTAGCGACATTAATTTTTAAATGGGGTCGGCCATATTTAATGGGCGGATCATTTAGTCCGCGGATCATCTGTTCTGAATGCACTCTAACACCCCATTTCCATAGATTAGATCGACCTACTTTAGATCGACCTAACTCCCTGGGGGTTCACGTTAAATAGCTGTCAGCCGGGCGGACACTAAAGTTAATTATCCCCTTACAGCTTGTAGTAGGCGGGATGGACATTTAAGTCGGATTATCTGAAAGTAATCTAGTGAGACTCCCCGCGGGGATAGATCGATCTAAAATCTATGGAAATAGAGCCTAAGATAAGTAGAACACCAAAAGATAGTCATCTGGCTTAGTTTGACATTAACGGGTTTTCACTTCCAACACAGGGACTCTCGTTGTTGATAAAGAGAAGATGCACCTTTTTCACGTCTACGTGTGGCCGTTGCTCGGTATTTTAGCGGGAAATAGTGCAAAGGGGTCAGGAATCAGTGGAACGAATGGCTACGTGGAGTACTTCCCAGGTAATAAACGCAACCGACATTGAAAGCTTGTAAAGAGTAGAACATAACAGAATATAAGAGAATAGATATTGGAAGCGGATCGAATAACCAGCTCTGGATACATTTTTTCAGTTCAGATCCTTTTTATGTGATTGGGTAAAATTAAATTTCAGTAAAAACTCAATTTTGCCATTCATTTCATTTATTTATTTCATTCTTTTGTGTACCTTTATTTACGGCAAGCTGTGACTAAGGGGCATGTTTTTGATAAGGCAACTCAAAAAATGTGTGATTTCGTGAGGACAATAACAGCAATTTCCAGTTTTCCAGTTGTTTAAACAAACAAAATATGTAAATGGTTCAACATTTAACCAAGAGATTGGAAGTATGATGATAATTCTAGATTTCCACCCCTGTGGTCAAATTGACCAACTGAAAGGCGTGTTTTAACAATAAAGAATATTATCCGGATTACGTCTTCATTTAGTGAGGTATACAGCGTTTCGTATAGTATTCTTATCACAACTAACTGGACTATATTTTTCACATCATCACGATTCAGGACAGGGGCATGTGCAGTATATTTCGTGCGTCTTATGTTGAAGAGACTTTTTTATCAGTATTGATGTTGTTGTTCTTACCCAGAGGAAATTTTGTTTGTAACCTATTAATTAACAGAAACGCTATATAAATTCCACTATGTTTCAGGAGATATGAATGAACAGAATTATCTTTTAATTTCCAGGTACGGCGGATTCCAAGGTTATTATCACAGCCTCACATGGAGGCTATCTCGAACCTATCAGCATACCTGATAGAACGAAAGGATGTTTGTCAGGAGCAGCCTGCATATGGACCCATACTTGTGGTTCTATGAACTCCCAATGTACCGCCAAGACTCTTAGAGACACCAAAACAAAGGAACTGGCTACAGAACTCACTGCAGCCTTGGGGACTCAGACGGGAAAGCGCCCACATTTGATCGTTAATCATCTAAATAGAAGTATATGCATCCAACTTTGATATATAGAAGGCTGTACTGCAAATTATTCTATTGCCTCCTATACAACATTGTCACAGCGGTTCCGGTCGAACGGTTTCGTATTGGCAACGTTCGAGAAACTTGATTCGAATTTCCCAACAACGTTTCCGTGTCCAAAATACCGTATAATATTGTGTTAAGTGTTATTGCCTTGTTATTTTTAGTTTGGATGCCAATATATTGACAAAGTGACCACGAGTTGTTTAATTACTAGCGAAAGATTATTTTTTATATTTGACGTATGATATTTGAAAGATTTTATTATATTATACAGTTCGCAAGTCCTTTCTGCGTGAGTAACTTTAATATGTAAATGCGTCATAATTTAATTTATGAAAATACATGTGATGTATTATGTCATGCATATCGACAAGCTAATATGAATATACCCCTACTTTATAAGAGTAATGGACCTCGTTAATTTTTTAGGAAAATTGGACCCCAATCGAGACACTGAGGAGGCAGCATTCAACGTTTCAGCTGCCGTGACAGCATATAACGAATATCACAAATTTATCACCGACGCACGTGCCCACATCACTGGTGCGGGGCTGCTCCTTGACATTCACGGGCAAAGCCACCCTGAGAAGTGGATTGAACTGGGCTACTTGATAAGCAAAAGTCGTCTAAATACGGACGATCTCAAACCCACACTTTCTTCCATCCGTTCCTTGTACAACAGACACAGTACAAGCATGAATTTTGACGCCCTTCTACGTGGTACCAACAGTTTCGGCGGTTTACTGAGTAGTCACGGGTACAAGGTTGTTCCATCCCCGGGAAACATGTCACCCGGATCAGGGAACTTCTACAGTGGGGGCTACACAGTTAAGACGTATGGTTCGCGTTATGGTGACTCCATTGATGCCATACAGATTGAATCACCGTATGCCTTGCGTACATCCGAACGTGCCACCTACGTGGCAGCTTTGACAGCCGTGGTCAAGGACTTTCTGAAATTGTACTATTAATATAATTCTGTGTTTCAGACTTAATCGTGTTATATCAACAGGTAATAAAGTTGTATGGATTGCGAATGGACTCATGAAATCATTTTGACATAACGAATGGAAGGCATTATTTTGTATTGTTTAATGTTATTTGTTGTTCTTCTTTTCTGAATTAAAACACTTAAACTGTATACCATAAAACGCAGACTTGTTTGTGATGAAGTGAAATATTATTTGTCCTTTGACTGACCTTGCAATCGTTCGAAATTAAAAGTACACGTCTTACGGGACATAATTCGTACTTAAATGAGCCGCCATAACTTTGATGTGTTTTAACTATATCATTTTGTTGTATTTTATGTGTATTTATTCTACTAATTTGTGCTGTCATAACTTGATTTTGTTTTATTTATTTTTGATTCATTTAAATATTCATTTATTTCATTTAATTACGTGTATTTATTGATTTCATTTTTCTTTCCCCGTTTTGTGAAAGCCGACCCAGATGTTTTTAAAAGTCTTCGGTAAAATAATATATACTTTTTCTGGTCAACTTTTTTTTCCTAGACAGTGACTTACATTATATGCATTGCCAGTTTTTAAAATAAATGTTTAAGCAATTTCTTCATATTGCTTAAATGGAAAACAATTCATTGTGTTCACTGAATTGACGAGCACTTTATTGTTTGAGTAATAAAATGTTTGAGTGATACCAATTTATTACTCAAACAATTTTAAAAGAACTTTTGGTTTTACTTTATGACAAAAATCCATTAACATTGACCTCTTTTTACATTTGACCCATTAGCAATGACCCTAGACTCACACATTGACTGATGATATTGATTGTCCTATCCCTTGCCTCCGTAATGATATATAATTCATTGATATATCTTTTACCATATTGGTATCGTAAACATTTCCTCTCCCGTACCACCATTTGAAAAAAGCATTTGCTCCAGGTGGGGTGGGGCTATATAAGGTGTAATGGAAGATAAAAAACTACATGATTGAGAAGGTTATCCCACATATTTGAATATTGGAGACAACGGCCTCACTAATAACCACTATGAAAATTCCTCCATTTTTTTGGTGCCGGGGGGCTAAAAAAATCCGGGGTCTGGCTCATAGCCTACTATGAAGTTCTGGCTATGTTACAATACAATATAATTTGTTGTAACCTATTTTTGATTGACATACGGGTGTTGCATCGGGTCATAAATATTCATGACAGTAACAATGACGTCAAGAAGAATTTACTAATATACAGTATATAGAACATCGTAAGAGAGTCATCTAATTGATTTCGACTTTAAACGGGTTAACAGTTCCAACAAAGGGACTCTCGTTGTTGATAAAGAGAAGATGCACCTTTTTCACGTCTACGTGTGGCCGTTGCTCGGTATTTTAGCGGGAAATAGTGCAAAGGGGTCAGGAATCAGTGGAACCAATGGCTACGTGGAATATTTCCCAGGTAATAATTGCAAACAAGCAGGAATGGAAGCTACATCAGTTACAACAGTGGGAAGTGTTAAATTGCATTCATTTAATGTATCTTCAAAACATCTACTCGTGCTTGAAACACAGCTCCAAGTTCGTTTGGCGTAGTTTTCGGATTTTGGGGGCAAAAAACTTAATTTTTCGGTTTCCTGATTTTCTCAGGAACCTGGACGGCTATAAATATGCCTTTAATGGTATAATAACACTTGAACAAAGTACTAACAAAGGGGGTCAGGGATTTTTCTTTAAAGACTAACTGTTGATTTTATACAGACTTGACATTTAATATGGAATATTTTCTCCAAATCATAATTAATCAGTTTTTCCCTATTTTGCTGACTGATAAATGAATATAAGGATTAAAATCGTGTTTTAAAAACTTTTGATAATCTGTTCGACGTCATTGTGACATCAGTTCATAAATTGAATTCGCCAGTGAAGCAAACAAAAATACATTGCCTATTTTAGGTCATTCGACAACCATTGAAAGCGATAATTTGGATCTCCATATTTTCCAAATTATCGTCTTTAAAAGAGTTACACGCCCCACAAAGGCCCCTCATGTCAGTGTCTTGTCACAGCAATGGTCGCTGTTACACCTGACCTCATCTGGCTGCTACCAGAGCTTTCAAGCGGCAAGGCATTCCTTAGGATGGGTTTTTAGAGTTAAATCTGGAATAAAATCCCACGCAACGGCTAAAACTTGGTTTCGTTTCGTTGTAGGACATGCAGGCCGTTCATACGGTGAGTAATGACCTACCCACATATTGTCTATGTGGTTCAAATATGGCGATTTTGATGACCAAAGTAGCTGCTCATTCCCTTGGTTCTGTAAGTCATCTGCTGTTAAAAGTGCTCTGTGTGAACCAGCAACCTCAAAGTGCAACCTAAAATTGTTCCTCAGGTGCCGCCTATCAAATAATGGTCAAGTGGTTCCCAGAGTATTCCTTTATTTCATCTTGTTCAGGTTTTCATCGATGACTTCCATTAGTGGAACTGGGTTGTTTTGGTTTAATTGCAGCAACATATCCTGAAGGACAGGGAGTCCTGTACCCTGGTGGTAAGATGTCAATACATTGGGCGTGGCCTCTGTGTAGGTGCATCAGTCTGGGCATAACTCTATAAAACTGTGCAGACCATTCCGTTTGACACAATAATTTGTCTGGCAATGTCTGTCTTTTTCGCGCCATTCTGGCACAGATTAATAATTTTATAAATCGCTGCTTAACTCATTTCACGCACTTCAATACAGTCCGTTTGCAAGCAATATTTCAAATTCTTCGATACAGTAATTGCCGACATATGGATTCTTTTTTGTCAGAACCATGCTTCATCAAACCAAAAGGAGCACCAGTCAATTAAATGACTGCATATTACACAATGCAGCAGTGCAACAGACTTGGTAGTCAGTTAATTGGTAGGACACACCTGCCTTCATACCTCTCCAGTCAGATATCTTATGTGAGATCTGAGTTTTTTGAGGAAAAAAACGCATTTTTTACCTAGGTATACCTTTAAAACTCAAATATTCCATATTAAATGTCAAGTCTGTATATAAAACATGATTTTAGCCCTATTTGAGTACAGCCCCCCCCCCCCCCTTAGGCTGGTGTTGAGATAACGTCCTATTGCTGCTGTCCAGAAATTGGATTCCTCACCATCCCCTCACCACTAGCCATAGAATCGACGGGACATCTGTTAAAATTCTGGATTCTAAGCAGATTGAAACATTATCAAAAGAGAGGAATGTTATCTACAATGAAATACATGTAAGTAGAACAGAACAGAATAGATGAGATGAGATGAGATGAGATTAAAAATATTCAAAAGGCAATGTTTTATCATCGTATGACATCAGCATTGATTTCCGTTATGAGATAAAATGATAGAAGAATTTTGAAGGTTTTCAAAGTGGTAATAAAGAAACATCTTTAATTTCCTGTAATTTCCTTTACAAGAAAAAAAGTAGTGGTGGAACTTTTGTTTACTCCAAGCTGCACCAGATATTAGTCTACATTAGTTGTTTTATTGTAGTTTCGTAAAATTACACTCTTTTGCACAACAGAACCTACACTAAGTTTTGTATGTTACATTCATTTTGCTTTTTTTAAAGACGATATCCCAAACATGTACAATTTTCTTTAAAAGCTGCAAGTATAAAAGGTAAGCCCTCAAGCAAATTCTTACGTTTGTTTCTAGTCAGATATGGTACCAGGCAGTGACGCCGGTTGTTTTAAGTTTGGGTGATTTCTATTTTAAAAATATGTAAAGCACGTTTCTCTTCATTTATATATACGGTTAGTTTTTCTTTTATAGCAGAACCGTGAAGCATGTTCTGTATGGTACCAGACAGCGCCGCCGGCCTTGTTTTAAGCTCAGGTGGTTTCTATGAAAAAATATGTAAAACACGTTTCTCTTCATTTATTTAAACGGTCAAAGTTTTACCTTTATAACAAAACCGTGTAGTATGTTTTGTATGGTACCAGCCAGTGCCGCCGGCCTTGTTCAAGGCTCGGGTGATTTCTTTTGAAAATTATTTAAAACACGCATGTTTCTCTTCATTTAAATATACGGTTTAAGATTTACCTTTATGCCAGAACCCTGTAGCGTGTTTTGCATGGTGCCAGACAGTGCCGCCGGCTTCGTTCTAGGCTCGGATGACTTCTATGAAAAATATGTAAAGCACGTTTCTCTTCATTTTTATATACGTTTTAAGTTTTTCCTTTAAAACAGAACCGTGCAGAATGTTATGGCCTGCTTCCCTTTAACATACCGGTTGTGGAAGCCGGACATTAATATTCATGACGGTTACGATGACGTCATCAAGAAGAGTTTACTTAGATAAATAGAACACCATAAGATGGGATTGCCATTTCACGGATTAACACTTCCCACAAAAGGACTCTCGTTGTTGATAAAGCGAAGATGCACCTTTTTCACGTCTACGTGTGGCCGTTGATCGCCGTTTTAGCGGGGAATTGTGCAAAGGGGTCAGGAATCAGTGGAACCAATGGCTACGTAGAGTATTTCCCAGGTAGTTATTTATTTCTAAATATCAGCTCCTCTCATTACGTTTCATTTTTACAGTGTATATCAAAGTATGTAGCATTTCAAAATAACCTTTTCTCAACTTGCATGGTATTTGAAAACATATTTTTGTTAAGGTGGGACTGTATTCGAATATGGCTAAAAATCACTTATTTATAGATTAAATCAACAGTAAAAAAAATCCCCGAACCCCATTTGTAGTGCTTTGTTCAAGTGCTATAATACATGTACCATTAAAAGCATGTCAATAGCTGTACAGGTGCCTGAGAAAATCAAGAAACCGAAAATGATGTTTTCGCCCAAAAATTCCAATATTACGTCACACGATGGAATCGGAGCTGTGTTTCAAGCATAATTAGATGTTTTGAAGATACATAAAATGAATGCAACAGGAATAAAAAAAGCTAAAATTTTTAATTTAAGATATAATATCCAACCTGCAATCTTACCTTAACACAAATAAAATGTATGAGAAGGGCAGGACATTTTGTCGTAGCTACCCTTCAAAACACAGGTTTGGCTGCACATCTGGCATTAGACTAATAGAGCGAGTAAACTAAGAAGGAAAACTTAACCAGATACATCGGTGAAGTGGCAACAATGCCAATTAAAATATCAGTTACTTATTTACTTACTTATTCATTTATTTATTTATGCATTGTAAATGACAAGTTGCACTATGTATGAACTGGGTCAATTTTCGTCGTCAATAAAGTTTAACCGATCGATGAGCTTCTTAAAGAAAGACCTTGAGTCTCTTAAAGATAGACCTTGAGTCTCTTAAAGATGAACCGTTCAGTAATTTTAGGGTCAAAATGTTACTGTCCCGCAATTCCTAGAAAGACCAAAGAAGTACTCAGACTACATTGGCAATAACACCTTACTTTGAATGGAATAGAAAAGATATGAGAGGGGGTCGAATCACCAGCCCTAAATGAATAATTTTTAAGCTCGTTTTTAAGTTATTGGGTAAAATTTATTTACATAATAACCTCTTCTTTTCATCCCTCGTTCATTCATTTCAATCGTTTGTTGAACTTTGTTTACGCCGAGCTGCGACCAAGGGGCGGGACTGAGATAAGGCAACCCCCTTAAAGTGTGTAATTTCGAAAGGGAAATTACAGTAATTTCCAGTTATCCATGTGTTTATACAAACAAACATGTTACCACTAAACCAAGGAATTAGAAATATGTTGATACTTCTAGAATTTCCTCTCTGTGGTCAATTAAACAAAATGAAAAGCGCGTTTTAACAACAAAGATGGTTATCAAGAAGACGTGATCTTTAATTAGTTGGGTTTTGTCGATTCATATAGTTTTTCATGTTGCATAGACGTTTTTTACCATTTGTTATTAGAATTGTTGTTGTTGTTCTAATCCTGAGGAAATTGTTTAATTACACTTTGTTTAGGGAGTTACATGTATAAATGAATAGAATAGAATTGGAATTTTAGAGAACCGACTTATCCAAATTTGATATTTTTATCAATCGATATTACTACAGAATTGCACAGCTTCAGGATCATGTCATAATATTTTTTTTTTCCAGGTACGCCGGATTCCCAGGTTATTATCACCGCCGCACATGGGGGATATCTCAAACCCAGCAGCATTCCCGATAGAACGAAAGGGTGTTTGTCAGGGTCAACGTGCATCTGGACCCATACCTGTGGTTCGACTAGCTCCCAGTGTACCGCCAAGACGGTGAGAGACACCAAAACTAAGGAACTGGCTACAGAACTCACTAAAGCCTTGGAGACTCAGACGGGAAAGCGCCCACATTTGATCGTTAATCATCTAAGTAGAGGTATGCTTCAACCATTGTTGTGCGGATTTTTATGCACTTTTTGTATTTCATTGCCTCCCATACAACGTTACCATGGCGGTTCACAATGTTCTATACTCGACTCAAATTTCAAATTTCCCAACAACGATACCGTATCCAAAATACTAAATACTATTATTATATTATATTATATTATATTATATTATATTATATTATATTATATTATATTATATTATATTATTTTTTTTTTAATTTGGTTGCCAATATGGTGACAGAGTGAACCTAAATTGTTAATTGCTTGCAAAATTGTTTTTTATATTTGAGATATGATATTTGATAGATCTTTTGTATTATATATGATCTGTAAGCATTTTTTTAAATTTGTCATAAGGTTTTTTAATTAATGGAAATATGTGATATGTTTATTCATGCATTCACTCATTGCAAATATGAATAAACCCCCCCACTTTATAAGAGCAATGGGCCTCGTTTTTTCAGTAAAATTGGACCCCAATCGAGAAATTGGAGAGGCAACATTCAACGTTGCAGCTGCCTTGACAGCATTTAATGAATACCACCAATTCATCACTGACGCACGTGCCAACATCACCGGTGCGGGGCTTCTCTTTGACATGCACGGGCAAAGCCACCCTGAGAAGTGGATTGAACTGGGTTACTTGATGAGCAAAAACTGACTCAATGAAAACAATCTCGAACCCACCCTCTCTTCCATTTGCTCCTTGTACAACAGTCACAGTACAAACGTGGCTTTTGATGCCCTTCTACGTGGTAACAACAGTTTCGGCGGTTTACTGAGTAATCATGGGTACAAGGTTGTTCCATCCCCGGGAAACACGTCACCCGGATCAGGGAACTACTTCAGTGGGGGCTACACGGTGAAGACGTATGGTTCGCGTTATGGTGGCTCCATTGATGCCATACAGATTGAATCACCGTATGCCTTGCGTACATCTGAACGTGCCGCCTACGTGGCAGCTTTGACAGCCGTGGTCCAGAACTTTCTGGATTTGTATTATTAATATAATTCTGAATTTCAGACTTAATCCTTGCTACCTGCTTATCGGCAGGTAAATAATGTTGTATGATATGACTTGTAGGCAGATTCGTAGGATACCCCGTCTCGCTTGAATGAACCGCGTTTCTTATATTGCCTTCCCTTATCTCCTTAAAAAGAGAAAAACAACCACAATTTGAGCCCCATACCAATATATCATATGTATCTTGTCGAAGCTTTTGGTATGTGTGAGAAAAATTGGATGGTGGAATCCCGTCTTTCCGTAACCTTGTAAATATATGTATTCAAGATCCGTACGTATAAGTGTGGATGGAGTTTTGAAAATGCAAGGCACCATTTAATTCTGTATTGTTTGATATTATAACATGGTAAGTTTATGTAACCGGAGACTATAATCATGTTAAGGGCAACTATAGTAAAAAAAATATCCCAGAACTAAGTTTTATAAAATTCAAAGTAACTCTTCATTTTGACCAAAAAGAAAAGAATTTTCATGAGGTGAACAGCAATTTTCTTTGACTTACCGAACACAGTCGACATGGCTACGCTTATTTGGTTTTAACCAGGTCTGAGTGTTATGTAACCGGAGAATATATTCATGTTTAGGGCAACTATAGTAAAAAAACATTATCCCAGAACTTAGTTTTATTAATCTTGTGTGTAAGTAGGACAAAAAATATATATATTTTAGAGTTAAACCACCATTTGGGCGGTGTCCGCGTATAATAACACAAACACATGAGAGTTGACTATCTCACTTCATTATACTTTTTTCACTTTATGTTAATGACTGTGAATTATATATTTAAAAAAAATGGTATGCAACCAGTTGAGATGAAAGACTTGTCACTTTTTTTTACTCAAGTATGTGGATGATTTAGTTTTGTTTGCTGATTCTGCAATAGGATTACAAAACATGTTGGACTCATTAGCAATGTATGCTGATAAATGGTCTTTGACTGCAAGTGTAAAAAACAAGCAGAGATATTGGTGTTTAGGAATGGTGGTTGTACAAAAGTAGACGACGTATGGTCATATAAGGGTCAACAATTTGAAATTGTCGATGAATTTTTCTATTTGGGTGTTATTCTGAATTTTAATGACAAATTCTTCAAAACCCCAAAACAATTAGCCTTGCAGTGTCGTAAAGCGATGTTTAGTCTGTATAGAAAGTGCACTGATATGAGCCAGCACTGCTCTTTCATTATTTGATACTTATATATATCTAGCATTGCTTACTATGGATATGAAGTCTGTGGGCACCATCGTGCACCAGACCTCGAAAAAGTTCACTTGGACTTTGGGAAATTTATTTTAGGGGGTAAGTGTTCAACTTCAGATGCAATGATCTATGCTGAATTGGGAAGGTTTCCTTTGTACTGGGAAAACAAGAATAATAAAATATTGGTTGAAATTGAGGAAAACAAATAACTGCATTCTTACAAGAATGTTTAACCTATATCTTATGAATGGAGATACACGTATGAATAATACACCATGTGGTAACTGGCTTTCTAAGGTGCATGACATTTTTATAGAAACAGGTTTCCATGAATTTTGGTTTTATCCAAGTTATTACAATGAAAAGTTTATGATCTCTCAAGTTAAACAAAAATTGATGGATATCCAACAGCAAGCTATATTTTCAGTCATAAACGGATCTCGGAAATGGTGGCTATATAGACACCTCATTGATCGTGTTAATATGCAATCTTACCTTGCGAAGCCAATTCTAGCTCAATATAAAAAAAAATTAATCAGTAAAATTAGACTTTCTTCTCCTCTACCAGGGCTACAAATTGATTTTTCACAAGATATTCACAGATATGTCTTTGAATAAATAGACGGTCGTTTGGTCGTCTGGAAATGTGGAAAATGTGCCAATAATATCTGCCAACTTGGCACAGAGTACATATCAGAAACGCCTGATAGATTTGGGGCAGGCAAGAATCAGTATGATCTCCAATAAAATCCGTTTCTCTCGGCTCTGGTGGAAACGGTGGATCGACCCTACAGGTAGCTGTAAGATAGCTGACAGGAGAGAGAGAGAGAGAGTAGCCCGGAAGATCGTCCGACACTATCCCTGCCTGCGTGCCAGACCTGTAGCCCTTATGTGAAAAATAAAGAAGCCAAGTAATATCACCGCCAGCTACTGTGTTCAGACACCTCAGATATCAATAACCAACCAATATAATAATATTCTTTCTATTCGTTTTTTTAGATTAAAACACCTATGTACAACAAAAAATAGACTTGCTTGCGATTGTTCTTATGTGATGCCTTTATTTTCAAGTCGCTTTCCGTGAAATATGTTTTCACCTTTGATTGACTACCAATCGCTCGAAATAAAAATCACACTTCCTTCGTGATATAACTCGTACTAATTTGAACCGTTATAACTAGGTTATGTTTTAAACTATTTTATTATGCGTATTCATTCATTTAATTATGTGACGTGTACTTATTGATTTCATTTTCCATCTCTCTTAATTTACATAAAGTACATAATCTTTCAGCTTCCGAAGTTCGTTTATCCGGCGTTCGCAATCACAAACTCTCTGCTCGAGATAACAAACGGCAATTATCATTTATGAGGCTATGGCTTGTGTGCCACTCTCTTTATTTAAGAGAATTGGCCCGAACACCAGTGCGTGTTGTACATTTTTCTTTGGTATAAACTGTGTCAAAGCAGATGACATTCTTGTATCTTAAAATATTTTTTCATCAATGAAAAGTTTATTTTCACTTATTATGCCAGTATACCAAGTATGATAAGACATATCTTTGGAACGCTTATTGAAAACTAGGACATAATAACGATTCGTTATTACCGGTATGTCCAAGTTGAAAATGAGAACAAAGTTTTTTCTCAGCATTATGTTAAGTCCAAATAACCGCCCACCAAAAAAAAAGAATAAAGTTTTGTCTGGTGTGGCAGTGGGATCATAATTTTTATTTCACCAACATTTCTTTGGGAAAGATTCTGTCAGCAATGTTCAGTATTTCAATCTAGTATTTCATGGTCCCTGACTGTACTCTGAAAAGGTCGGAACCGTCAAATATCACCTCGAACTGCTTGGTTGCATGTTTTGGACTAACGCTGCGTTCACATGAAAAATCTATTTTCTAAAAATCTAAAAAAAAATCTATTTGCGTTATCTTGTGATCACGATCTGTGCCCTGAATACCCCATGGCGTAATTACGGGCAGCGCGAGCCAGTTACTTCCAAAGCTGTGATTAATTTTCGGCGCTGGCAGTAATTACGCCGCGGGGTATTCAGGGCACAGACCGTGATCACAAGATACCGCAAATAGATTTTAGATTTTTAGAAAATAGATTTTACATGTGAATGCAGCCTAAAGCCCTAAACGTTGTATGCAGCATTGAACAATATAAAATAAAAATAAGATATTGCATTGCTAATACATATGGCTTTATTTTTGTTCCCGCCAGACGCCTTTAGGCGATATTCTTTGTCAATGTTTTTTTCGCTGACCATAAAAAAGTGAAAACAAGGATATAAAGGAAATTTAGTTTATGATAAGTGATGTGAAACTAAAGAATATGCCAATGCACATGCTGGAGGTAGCCGGCGTAACAGGAATGGAAGTCCGCTAGGAACCGCTGTCCGCTTCCCATTACTTTGTGCAGATGACATTCTTCCTATATACTAACCCCTATACTTACCATTACTTTGTGCAGATGACATTCGTCCTATATACAAACCCCAATACTCCAATTAACCCTAACCTGTACTTATCATATGGGAGCCCGGACTACCATTGCTAGGACTACCGTTCCTGTGACACTGGCACTTGCAGACTAAATTGTACATGTCTAGGTGTGTTTGCTATGCTATATGCCAAACTATTCGGATACGAGAATGCACGGATGTATTCCCGTCAGCCTTGTTCTATTCCATAAGAGCTTGCAGCTTCAGGGCAATACATGTTTATCCGTAAACCATACATACCCGTGGGAAAATATTTTGACATTTATATGCGACATACAGTTAGTGTCTGTTTTACCATGACGTAATCCTGACTATTTGTTTCGGCGGAATGTCTGGAAATCATCGCTAGCTAGACTCAGTGGAAGTTTTTTTTTCTTGAAGTGACAGACCAGTTAGTAATATCATTTCATTTCACAACCACCATGTTCAGTTGAGTAAATTATTACAAGTTTTGCAATTCCGGAGTAAATACCAGTAATTGAACCACAAACCCGGTATATGGTAGCTATATTCAAACAGCAGATTGATAAAGCACGGTATATTCAACACATGCGATAACTGACATATTGAAATGTTCGAATATGTATATTTTCTTCTCTGTTTTCATCTCAGCATTAAAACTAAACACACTTCTTGTATATACGTCGACAAGCGTCTTTGAAACAGTTTTCTCCCAGGCAGAGGTCCTTGCTGTTCCCGTACAGTTTTTTGTGCCTTTCAAGATTGGAATAATGTTTCCTTTGAACTTCCATGCAACGGTGATCCCAGCTCCAATTAGTATCAAAAAACTTAAACAGATCTAGATGGAGTTTGCTCCGGTTGAGGCTTGAGCATTCAACAGGGCATGAATCAAACCCACCCGAATAGCATAGCCCTTCCATAAGTGCCAGGTTTGATAGGTGCACAGGGTCAGGTATCTTCTTTC